TCCTCTGACGTCATTACGCTGCGGGGTTTGACGGGTTGTTGCTTGAAAATGTCGATAATTTTCTCATTTTCAATCACAAGTTTATCCAAAAAGGATTTTACGCACATTGATGCATTTTCAGCATTAGCACTATGTAATTCATGTCCGACTACTTGACCGTCGTACCTTACCACCACGTACGACCAACCGCACGGCACGTGTTTGTTATTTTTAAACGTTTTCGGGTCAGACTCGTCGGTGTTTGTCGGCATTTTTTCCAAAATACACTCGAAATCTGCATAGATTACAAACGGCATCTTGGCTCTATGTTTAACGTTTTTAAATTTCAACGTCTTGTTTTTTTCATCGACGACTTGTACCACCGTTATACCGTCGTTTACACCCTTGCAATCGGGCTCGTGTTTTAACAAACATTCTTTCTTACTAAAAACGTGCATACATCGCGAACATAAATGCTTTTCCCCCTTGTGTTTATTATAACCGCTGAGAAGCGGGCTCATCTTTTTAATCCACATGTAATGTTTATCGTACAGCAAGAGATTAATCAGCGTACGACCCTCGTGCTCACCGTCGACGTAGACCGGATGTAAATAACCCTTACCCTCTTCTTCCCAGCCATAAACGTTAATCTTGAGCCGCGGATTATTCTTTTCAATGATTTTAATCTGTTTGGTCGGCGTGGGGAACGTGATACCGCTCCAGTCGAGCTCGTCTAGATGCGGAGCGTATCTCGAGGGTCTATCGGTATGGTCCTTGACGGGATGAAGCGCGCTGGCAATGGCGTATTTGATGCACAAGTCGTCTTTGTTTTTAACGTTGACGATTGCCTTTTTATTTTTCAGCACGTTGGGTAATGGTACGTACGTACCACCGCGCAAGGGATTATACCTAACGATCTCTATATCGAGATGCTCGAGATGATTTATATGCCATCCCGATCCGTTTTCACCCCATCGCTCAATCATCACGACTATACGATTTACATCCCTTTCCAAATCTAAATCATCGTAAACTCTATATCCACCCGTGTGAAAGGTGGGTATGGCCGTCTCTGCCTCTCGCGTCATATTTACACCTAAAGCGAGTCGATATCTGATCCTCCGAAACGATGATTGTGTAATATTTCCTCGATACGATCCCTAAATTGTAAGATTACGCGTGGATCGACAAAACGTGTTAGGCTTATCCGATGAGTTTCGTGCGTCTCACTCGCATGAATACGATCAAATCTAGATTGGTGGTTTAAGGGTTCCAATTCACGTTCTACCCTTTCTTGCATTTCCCCACTTGGATTTAAAACTTGTTGTTTCTCGCGTTTTCGCTGCTTGCGTTTCTCGCGTTTCTCACGTTTTCGCTGCTTGCGGTCCTCGCGTTTCTCGCGTTTTCGCTGCTTGCGGTCCTCGCGTTTCTCGCGTCTCTCGCGTTCCTCGCGTTCCCACTGCTCACGTCTCTCGCGTCTCTCGCGTTCCTCGCGTTCCCACTGCTCACGTCTCTCGCGTCTCTCGCGTTCCTCGAGTTCCCACTGATCGCGTTTCTCGCGTCTCTCGCGTTCCTCGCGTCTCCACTGCTCACGTCTCTTGCGTCTCTCGCGTTCCTCGCGTTCCCACTGCTCACGTCTCTCGCGTCTCTCGCGTTCCTCACGTCTCCACTGCTCGCGTCTCTCGCGTCTCTTGCGTTCCTCGCGTTCCCACTGCTCACGTCTCTCACGTTCCTTGCGTTCCTCACGTCTCCACTGTTCGCGTCTCTCGCGTCTCTTGCGTTCCCACTGTTCACGTCTCTCGCGTTCCTCGCGTTCCTCGCGTCTCCACTGCTCACGTCTATCACGTTCTCGATACTCGCGTCTATCACGTTCTCGATACTCGCGTCTATCTCGATACTCGCGGGTATCACGTTCTCGATACTCGTGTCTATCACGTTCTCGATTGTTGTAAAGGCTCATTTTTAATGATATGGTCTATTCCCTTAATTCAGAATCAAAATTACAAATACGCCGATAGAGGGCGCACGTCAGTTTAAAGATTACGAAATACAATTGTATTTCGCAATTCACTGGGTCGTAACCACTTTACGAGGACGTCCTGGCTGACGTTTGGGTGCACACTTTTTACACACGCCGTTAATTGTAACCTTGCATCCTATACCGCATACGTTACACGGAAATATCTTGCTATTGTGTATTATCCTATACTTGTGATAGGCGCAATACCCCTTTAGATGATCGGGTAGCGAGTCTTGATCTCGATGGATAATCTTGCGACATAAATCGGTCGAACCCATCTTGAGATAACGACAACCGTTTACATCATCACCCTCAACGCGTCGACTAGGCGATCGACGTTTTAAAAGTATCGCGTTGCTTACAACTTGTCCACCGCATCTATAGCAAACATTGTGTAGTATAGTCCTACAACCCCTACCACATTTTTCGCACGAAACTGTACCCCCACCTCGCATGATTCTAAACTTGTGACCGCGGCAATATCCGCGTAGATGCTCGGGTAGCGAGTCTTGATGCTTCAATATTGCTTTTCCACA